TAGGAATGCTTGCCAGAGTATGACATGTTGGACCGTATGAGATATGGCCTCAAGTAGCAGTTCTGTGTGCTGTGTGTCCCATTCTTGCCATTCTTAGCGAAAATAATATGGGGTGTGATTTTTTTTGGGTACAGATGGGAAAAACAATTGTTATCACTTTGATGCTGACTTATCAAACTTACGGGCCCTAAAACCTATACTGAAACCAGAACGTGGCTATTTATGAATCTCCCCACTTTGCCAAACTTTGCAGTGCTTTTCAAAAGTGTGTACAAAATTGCATATAAGTTAAAATACATAGGCAACTCTAGGATTTTATGAGGTAAAAGACCACACTACTCTGGCTTCTTTGTAAGATGAAATTAACATCAGCAGTAACTTTTCTGACTGAAGAGTGAATTCACTTTTCCTGCCTATCTAGCTTCCATAGATAAATAAATGCCTCTGAACTGAAATACCGTTTTTCTGAACAAGTGAGTATGCAGCAATTTATCTCCAATGAATTCAATAAAAAAAATCCTTTTAATTTTAAATGGAGCTTGTTCTGTACAAAAACTCAAGGAACCAAATGGGGAAGAAGAGGATATTTCACTCTTAATTGCTATTTCCTTTAACATGTATTATTTCTTTTAAAAATGCAAATCTAGCTGAAATGAATCAGATACTATCAGAGGTATAATGGCAATTGGCACTTGGTTATGGCGTTGCCAGTAGATGCTTTTGTTTCATTTTAAACATTCACAATCATTTCTATAAAATGGGCAGAGTGATATTGTTTATACTTTCAAAGAGAGAGAGAGAGAGAGAGAGAGAAAGAGAGAGAGAGAAAGAAAGAAAGAAAAACCTTGAAATGCTTTTCTTCCTTATCAATGCTTTGTTACAATTTCCAAACTTCATGTGGAATTTCCAAATTCCACATGAATTCTTTAGAAAGAATTAGGAACTGTTTCCAAAATGAAAAAGATGCAGGTAAAATTACATCAAGGGGATTATATTTTTTTAGCAAGGACATGTCAACCAAAACCAAGAGGATGGACCTCAGATACCGTAAGTATTTTGCTTCCAATGGCTCCATTCATGAATAGATAGCCATCTTTTTCAGTCAAGGTACTTACTGCAGTCATAAATCCTGAAGTGTAGTAACATTTATTTATTATCTATTTACTCATGTTTATATGGCCAAGAAGTAAAACCAAGCTAAAAATATATATACAATAAAAATTAATATTACTATTATTAAAGGTTTTAAAATTGTAAAAGGCACAAAACTAAAATTATGATAGATCATAGATGATAGATGGATGGATGGATAGATGGATGGATTGATGGAGAGATAGATAGATAGATAATTTCTTTTGTTCATTCTTATCTCTACTGCTGTTCTTTATCAAATGCTCACATTAAGGATAACTGAAGTAATTAAACAGAATGCATGTTTTTAACCTCTCTTTGCTAGAAGCAGCTTGCCATACAAATAGTTCTCTCTGTTTTTAATCAGTCTATGAACTTAATCAGTCTATGAACTTCAGAACTGAGAGAAATGAAATTCTGGTTCTTCGTAGTTATAAACACTCATGGTATTACACTATATATGCAGATGGTTAGATAACTTTCTCCAATACATTATTGTTTTGTTTTGGGTTACAGGCTTTGTGATGTAGTTACCAGCCTTCTACTATGTGGAGTTGGCTATTTCAACGGTGGTGATATAGAGGCTACCAATGACAGTAATGCACAAAAACTCCAATTGTTGCATTTCCAGCTTATGTTTGGTGCTATTTAAAAAAAATAAATTATGACATATAGTTGGAGCAACTGATTTTTAGGGGCAGAAATTAAAAGTTTCAGTTCAGAAACTTTGGTGGGAACAGTGTTTACTGAGACACTTTGCATAAAGAGTAAAATACAAAAGTTACTTTTCAGATGTTCCAAAGAAAGCAAGCACAAGATTGGAAATGATCCAACAGAGATCAATCTCCAGTCCAAAATTCATCCAGGTAATCCAAAAAGGCATACAGATAAAAACTCAGCAGACAGAAACTGAACAATGATTACCACAAGGAGTACTCAAGTTGTATTTATTTATTTATAAAATTTATTGGCTGCCAGTCTTACCATAGCATAACTCTGGAAGGCTTACAGTCAGAAAATACGTCTAAACATATACAATTATAACATAATTAAAATCAAACATTAAAACCTAAGGACACATAGAAGGGCAGGGGCAGACTGGGGGGAGGTGAGATCTGTTGTCACTCGATCAGTCACAACAGATCCCACCCCACCTCCACCCTCCCCATGTTTCCTTATGTTTCATGCTCCTATATAAAGAGGTAACTGTTACTATCAATTTAACAAATCACTCTTTTTTTCTTTCTACTAGATAGCTTAACTGCCATTTCTCAATATATCACATGTTGCTAAGCTTGGAAACCTGCCTAGTTCAGCCTTCCAATCAACTGCCTCCATCTGGACCTATGTGTCCTCAAAATCCACTTCTGAATCTGAAGACTCAAACTGATTCCTAATTCTCCATTTTCTTGTTTTATTCATCTCACTGCTATTCTTTTCTTCTTCTTCTTCTATGTTCTTTAAATTTGTTTTAGGTGATGCATTGCAAATGGGCTTCACGTTTCTCTTTAGAAAGGAGAAATGTTGAAAATACCTTACTTTATTATATTGTATTTAAAAGAAGGAATTATTTTAATGAAGGTTTGTGGTGGGCTTCTTGGTGTAGAAACCTTCATTCAGGCAACTCCAGTGCTTTTTATGTAATTTGGCTTGCTTAACAAAACACATTTCCTACTGCCCACATAATATGCTGTGAACAAATGCTCCCCTCACAAATAGAAGCCATTATGGTTTAATGGTGACCTGATATAGTAAAGATGACCTTGAAGGATGGCCTTGAAGGACAGAAAGAAGACATGCTCCCAAGGCAGCAATCAGATAAATAAAATTTGAGCTGGAGCCAAGAAAGTAATTTGCAAAAATGCCTCAGAGAGCCTTCCCCCCCAATCCTCATGTAGATAAAAGCAGGAGGAAGGCTGGCACATTCATACTTGCGAGATTCTGTTATTTAAAAAAAAAACCTGTTAATTTTAATAGTAATTTTAATAAAATTACTGTTCTGTTCTAATAAAAGTAGCTTTAATTCTTCATGGTGCCTTTTTCTTAATCTGTCCGTCTGATAAAACTGACTCCTGATTCATGCAACATGCTAAGTTAAATGACCAGAAATGGTGGGACAACAACAACAACAACTGGAACAACATCCCATATCCATGAACCAAGTACATAAGACAAATAACATGAGAATTAGTAAAGAAAGAGCAGGTAATCGGCAAAGAGAATAGTACATCCTAGACATAGTAATAGAAGGAACAAGCATAAAACCAATATCAGAGTTGAAATATTTAGGAACAATGTTTACTGAAGATGGAAAAATGGACGAAGAGATCAACATACAATGCATTGGGACAGCTAACTCCACTCCTACAATATACAGTAAGGCAGTACTGATTAGTACAAAGAAGCATCGCATACACAGCCTATTCATACCTGCCTTATGTTACCAGTGCCAAACATGGACACTTATAATAACACATAAATGAAAGTTAGTTACTATAGAAATGAGATGTTTGAGGAAAGCTGCTAGAGTGACTAGAAGTGATAAAATTAGGGATGAGATTATAAGGGAAAGAATTGGAATAGAACCAATATTAAACTACATTCAAGGACAGCAAATAAAGTGGTTTGCTCATCTGGAGAGAATGTCTATGGATTCCATACTATATAAGGCATACATAAAAATATGAGAAGATCAAAGAGCATGAGGCAGATCTAGATAAAGATGGAAAGACAACATCAAAGACATGTTACAGCAGCATCAAGTAACGATGGCTGAAGTCGCGAGAAATGCAAGAACCAAAGCTTTGTGTCTCCCTCAATATCCAAAGTGATAAAAGAGAAAGTAAAGAAGAAGAAGAATGGTGGGAAGTTTGCTGAACTACAATCATTCCATCACAGTTTATCTAAGTAGTTCTTGTACTAACATAGCCACAGATGTCAGGTGAGAACATCAAGGGGCAAATGTTGAAATCAGTGTTGCATCAATGCAACTTAAGTCCTGTCTCTTTTATGCATGAGCTATGACGTTGTACACATGTATGAATGGGATGGAGACTTCTATCTGTGCAATTCACCCATATGAAGAAAGCACTGGATCCTGCATATGCTTTTGTATAACCACAAACAGCAGCTTCTATTTGCATGAAATTGCCTTATATTTTAGTCATATATTGCTGTATATTTTAATTCCTTTATTTTCAGGTTTTGCATTGTGTTGCTCAAACTACTGATAGCATAAACATTCTGAAGGAGAGAAAAAGAGAGAAGTACCATATATACTTGTGAATAAGCTGAAAATTTTAGGTGGCAATATGCACCCAAAATTTTTGTTTGGTTTATTGGCATTGAGTTTAGCCACAAATATATAAAGTCATACTTTAAAAAGATCCCCTATAATTGCAGGTAGGTCCATCTACACATATAGCGACCCATGAGTTCTTCACAAAAATACCATGAAAAATGGGTAATCTGTGGATTACACATGGAGAAACCAAATGTGATAAGTAAAACATACAAAAATTTTGAATGTTGGTTTATCCACAGTGGACTTACAGTATATTCAAGTGTATACAACAGTATAGGAATTTTATGATTGAGGAGGAAAATAAAACATTAAGTGATTTATTATTTGTAGTTATATTTGAACTATACAGAGAATTTAGTGTTAAGGAAAAGCAGAATTGCAAATAAAATTAGAATGCTGTAAATTATAATTCTTGAAGGATATGCATTGTGGAAGAATATACCTTTTTAATATTCAGAATTTATCTCAGGCTAAATATTATGATTCATGTAATTGTGTTAGTTAATTAAACATTTTTGGAGTGATGCTGGTGAACCATATTGGTGATTTTTCGTTTATTTCTTAGGATGTTCCAGTTAAAAAGAATGGGAAGCCTGGAGAGATACTTTTCTTTGAGCTGTTTCTTCTCCAAGGAACTTCTGACAGACTTGTGGGCTGGGGAGCTTTTCCTTTATGTAATAATAATTTGGACATTGTGGATGGGAAGTTCAAGTGTCCTCTTCTCAGAGGTTATTATGATACAAGAATTGATAGATTCCAAAAAATTGAAAAGTTGATTTCTTCTGATTTGGATCACTGGCTAGGCAATCTTTATTTTCAGGTAGGTGTGATGTCTTCAGAGGTCTACATTCTAATTAACATACTGTTCATAGTTTTTGTTAATGATTTACACTGTGTTAATCAAGCATTTTCATTTAAAGCACAATAGGCCCATTCATTTGTTGTTTAGAAAGTGGATAATGTGATAATTATAAGTCTCTAGTGATACTCTAAAATATAGTCATCTTTTATTATTCATCTGTATTCCACTATTTGCACTTTACCCTTTTAACTTTTAATCAATTCTTTATTTCTCCTTACATATCTTCTTCCAAAAACAACATAAATCAAAATAATAATAATGGTACTACATCTGTGTTTAACTGCAGATTCTATTTCTACTTGTCTTACTATAATTTTAATATATATGGATGAAGTAAAGTTTATATGAATGATGGTAATGAAGAAAGAGATTGATGTGCCTGGAAAGTAGGTTTCTCTCTACCTCTGTACAAGGGACTGGAATTCTATTCAGAAACTAAACTGTTAAAAATATGAATTGGTTATATTTAGCTATAAAGTAATGTTTAAAACTGTATGACTTAAAATTTACTTTCATATTTGAACTTCAAAGTCAGCTTAGAGGACCCATTGAGGATTATGGCTGTGGGGAATAATTGAATCCTTGGATTCACAAATTGATAGACAGTTGTGTTTTTAAATTATTGCACTGCACACTGAGAGCACTTAGGACAAGAATTAGAGGAATTAAGAAATAGCTAATAACTGGTGGACCCATGTGGTGGGTATTCCCAAAGAATCCTAGATTTACCCTTTTGATTGAACGTTTGAGAATATTAGCAGAATAATTTTGCATATGGCTGACCTATTCATGTTTTCTCTTATCAGATAATTAAACTTCCGTGGTGTTCAAATGAACAGTATAAATATGAAGTGGGTCTTCAGCCTTCTTCAAAAATTCTTCAGTATTCAAGTACTGCTGAGAAGGATGGGATTTCAAAGGAAATCATAGGTGGGTTGTGAAATGACAGACTAAAAAGTTCCTGTCTACCATGATACTGTTTAACATGTTCTTTTGTTTACATTCCTTAAATAAAAACACCATTCGGCATCTAATTGTAGAGTGATCTTCCCAACCTTGTTCTACCTCTATGCTGTGGTTATAAGTGTTGTTGTCTTAATACATAGGGAAGATTCTAGTTATGGAAACAATTTGTTGTTATTTTAACCATTTATGGAAGCAATAAACCTTTTGAAATCTAAACTCCTGCTGATATGAGCCAGCAAAACCTATCACTCTCTTATTTGGAGAGATAAATTGTTTATATCAATGCTAGAGGTAGCACAAGGTATTTCTTATATGAAATGTTTGTCCAGGTGATGGGTTGGACCTAGCAAATCCAAAGTGTTTTCCCAGTACATCCTTGACACTGGCCTCTGAAACTCCAAGGGATAGGAAGGAGTTTTTGATATGTAGATATACCCTCTCAGATATCTCTGTAAAATTTAAAATTTAAAAATTCTTAAGGATCCTGAAATGCCATTTCAACCTCACAAGGGAAATTAAAAGGATATTAAGGATTCTGAGATGCCTTTATAAAATCTATAACCTTACAATTGATGCGGCATTCTAAACTACCAGATGTTGAATATGCAAAATAATGTATTAGGAACCAGAGAAAAAGTGGGACAATATATGTCTTACTCTTCATTTTTCATAGACTTAATCTAATAGATGGATTGTTGTAAACCTTTGATTTGAATAGATATTTCCCTGACAATATATACACAAATATTGCACATATCAACTGTACCATATTAATTGGTAAGGGCAGATGCACAAAAATCATAAATGAATGCTGCACTTTCAAATGAATATGCCCATATCCTAGTTGTTTTAAAATAAAACCTATGGCTGTACAGTTGAATCATTGAAACTCTACACCCTCAGTTTGAAAACAGATATCCTTAAGAATAATTCTCTGTATCATTTGTATTTATTTATTTACTTGGAGCGTTCTTTAAAGATATTATTAGCTGTTAATATCCCCTGTGGGTTTGTTTTCTAATATATATCAGTTCAACGCTACAGTATGCTGTTTCTGCTGGTGATATGTTGCTAAGAGATTTAATAATGGGCAAACAAACACAACATGTGGTAATCCATTTCAAATTAAAAGTTTATTAAACGCTAGCTTGATGACTTTCTGGCTATTTACAATTAAAGGAGCAAACCTTAGGGAACTAGGAAACACATGGTAAACCTTACAGCTTTTTCTTTCCAATAGAACAAATGCATTTATGATCCGCAGCGGACTGATAGGTTGATAAGTTGTATAAATACTCTATTTATTTGGTTGGGACACAACATAAAATTGTGCTAAAGTGACGCTAATGTTGAAAGGCAAGCCAGAAAACAGACAAACCTAAATGACAATGAAATCTGTGCCTTAAGAAGACTCATTGAAACACTCTAATAATGAGAGACTAATCAGTATATGGGATTTTACAAACTGTAGCTCAGCTTGAAAACACAGTTTTAATTCTAATTCACTTTCAACCTTGGCAACTTTAAGATGTGTGGACTTCAATGCCCAGAATTCTCCAGCCAGAATGAGTAGGATCTAGGGTTTCTGACTGGAAGACAATCTCTATCTCTCAATTCCTGAGGTCATTAATATTCAGTATAGTCACTAATTCCAGGGTGGAATCTGTGAGCACGAGATAATGCTGAATGATATCACCCATAGTACCAATCTGGTTGCATATTGTCCTTATTTGATTAACTGGTCCACACAAAAAATTGAAGAATGACCTGATTGCAAGAGATGACAATGGGAGGTCGAAACACTAACAGTGTGAGATATGCAGACAGAACTACTGTGGAAGCTGAAATGAAAGGAGGTGTAGAAGAGGTTATCAAGAATGTATAAAAGGAAAATGAAAAAAAATGTCAGTTATTATAAAGGCAAGAAAATATCCCACAACAATCCTAGTTAACTTACATCTGACAGTAAAAGTAGTAGATAGCTTTGTTTTCTTGGGCTGAAGATTCAAATGGACAGGACAATAAAAAGAAAAGATTAATCCTACAGAAAAAAAAAGCAGTACACCAACGTTCAGAACAGTTAAAGCAATAGTTTTTTCTCCTGGTCAAGCATGACTCTGAAACCTAGATTTTGAGAAAGAACAACAGAACAAAAATACATTACACAGTAGAAGGCACTATGGGGATTATCTACTAGAGGAAGTCACACTGTAGTGAAAGAATAAAAACTTATTAGAATCGTAGGTAACTCTAATCAAGCAGAGACTCACATACTTAGGTGTGAGGTGCTATTAGATGATGATGGATTAGAAAAAATACTGTGCTTGGCAAAAATGAGGGGGGAAAAGGAAAGAGATAGATGGACAGGAGGAAAGAGATCATTGAAATGTCTCTTGAGGATAACTTTAAATTGCAGATCTATATCCATACAGCTAATAGAGTTCAATCCCCCATCTGATGGCCCTTAATCTTGCTAGATCAGGCTATTATACCAGTTCATATTTTTCCGAGTGTTCACTTTTCACTAGCCTGTTTTACAATATGATGGGAAAAGGTAGTTCAAATCACCTGCTATGTGCTTCTTTTACTTGGTTTAAATTTCTATATGCAGAAACATGTACCCTTCTACTGACCTACATTCTCTATCTCCAAAACATTACACTACACTAATTCTATAAGGCATGGAATATTTGCAAGCACTGATGATGATTGTGCAATGAAAGACAGGGCGTTTATCCATTCATTAGCCTGCTAATAAATAATAAAAATTCTATACTTTACCCATATTTCATTTTTTTTTCTCATTTGAAATAAAATCCTAAAGCAAAGTCTCTTTCACAACACTGAATGAACATGACCTCCCACCTCTCCAAAACAGTTTGTTTTCTATTTAAAGACAAATACAACCAATTATCCAGGTAACAACAACAGTCCTATCAAGGTAGTAGTTCTCATGAAACATAGCTCTTATCAAAGTGCTATGAATTCTGAAGGAAGTCTTTCTGCTTAAAAGCATCAAAGGCTTCAAACCTGGCCCTAGTAGCAGATGTTTTGTTCTAAAAAACATCAGCAACTCATTCATGCTCAAAAGTTCCCATGAGTTCTGATTGGGGGAATTTATTTCAGAAAAGTATTGTCATATGTTTCCGTGTGTGTGTGTGTGTGTGTGTGTGTGTGTGTGTGTGTGTGTGAAGAGTGACATTTGAACAATCTATTTCATATGTGTTCTGAAGTCTTGGGACCTTTTGAGCTCAGATGTAGGTTCAGTTTGGTAGTATGATCTACTTATTATAACATAAGTCACATAACTATTAGATACATCACTACCTTGTTCCTTCCTGTTGAAATCTAAAACTATTTTATCCAATTAAATTATAAGCAGACACAACAGCAGTTTTTTTTAAAAAAAAGAGAATCAAGAGAAAGTCAACAGGCTAGTTTAATGTCATTTGTCAGTTTGTAGTAATCCACAAACTCATTTTGTTTAATAAATTAGCAGAGACATGAACAGATCAATACAACATTAATGAAATGTACCTCATTATCATACAGCAACTTCCCCACTGTAAGAACTCTTCAGAAGGAGATAAATGAAGAAAATAGGACAATATATTTTGATACATTCTGCACATAGGAATGGAGGCATTGCATTAGAGATGATGGACGGTTTTGATTTCCACTGTATGGTGCCAGAATTACTTCAGGAGGGCACCTTTGAGGCAAATCAAGACCTTCATTTATGTGCTCCGGGGTCCTGGGCATTGTTCATTTGAGCTGCCCTCAGATATGGATCCTTCTAGAATGCAGTAAACAATATGTGGTCCTAAAAACATTGTAGCCATCATGAAATGTAGAATTTTGAAAACAATCCAATTTTCAAATAGGAATGATGAATCTTTTTCTATCCAAATTCCTGAGGGAAAAAATAAGGTATCATAGGGAAAGAGAGAAAGGAAAGGTGGTGTTGGGGGAAGAATAGAAATAAGAACAATAAAAAAGAGTGTTAAAAGAAAGTGCATAGGTGACCTAAGCAAATATTGGTTCTGGGCCAGCCCAAGGAATTCCTACAATATAGTTGTCTAGAATCTGACTCCTAAAGATTTCCCAGCCCTGTGGTAGAAAGAATGGCAATATTACTAACGTATTATTTTCACAATTCCAAGTATTTTCATCTTTGTCTCAAGACCTACAATGTAAAGAGTTGACTTGAGACACTTTCTATGCCTGGAATTTCATGAGCAATTTGGACATCAGTATGTCTATATTTAGGATTTGGAAGAACAGACAAATCTTCTATAATAATGATTCTACAATCATTACTAGAATCTCTATTCTACAATTAGTAAGTTTCTCTATGTACCCATACACCTCTTCCATACATTTTACTGAATATATAAATAGGTTTAATTGTTTAATTTATATATGCCCAGTCCTAAATAACAGGAGTTGAAATGTTAACATTAAACAGAAAGACATTAAACAAAAATATTAAACATGCCATGTGATCCTGGTTTATTTGTTGTTCTTCCATGCAACCCAAACCCAAGATCATGGTATGTAAATGCCTAATGCAATTTTAGTCCCATTGCAAAAAATAAAATAAAAAATAAAAAATGAACTTTTTTTTTGGAGATGTAAAAGGCAAACAGCAGCCTCAGTTCAGTTGGACGTTCCCATTCTCTGAACTGATGGCCTTCTGATATCAAAGGTCTCTGGAAGACATCTAGTTGCAGAACTGCTTCCCATTTGGCCTCATTTGGTAACATTCAAATCTGCTGGATAAAAAGGTTAAAAAAAGACTCTGCAAGTTGTTAATGGAAAAAGTCTTTTGACAGAGACCCATCCCATCCCAAAGTGATGCCGGCTGACAGTACTTTGCTGTTCCTGGAGCACAGAAACATGTGGAAGGAATTGTTCTTTCACATTTCACAGGTTGTCATTTCCTTCACAGGGCAACCTCTGACCCCTCGGAGAGATTCTGAGACTCGTAAGGGAAGTATTCCCACTGTTGAAAAGAAAGTGAGAAGGCGGTTTAATGCGGTAAGAGGTGGGAAATGGTGCACCTTAGAACAAACTAAAAGGAAAATAACAAATTCCCTCACGGATAACTTCCAGCAAGTTAGAACTTTCAGTATGGTGGGTAATTTGCTAACATTTTGGAACTAGATTGATTCTGCATATTTCTTTAAATTATGAAAACAGTAACAGCAGCAACAATTTTACACATTTAGTAGGATAGGGAGAAGCTGAAATTATATGTGGTGACATATACGCACAAGAGAGAGAAAGGGAGAGATAGATAGATAGAGAGAGAGAGAGAGAGAGAGAGAGAGATTAAAAATGAATTGCATTAGGAAAAGTATGTACAGAAAAAATATGCATGTATTAAGAGAAACACATAAAAGATATATACTAATTATATTAACTATCATAATATCTAAGCTGGAATCATAATAATATAAGATTTCAGACATGTATAGCTTCATCAGGAGACAATAAGGATGAAACTCTGGATATCCAAAATATTTTTTTCCAGATTGCTCTACATTGTTATGTTATATTTCTAGTAATCATTAATAAGTCACTGAACAAATGCAGCAAACTTAGTTCTTACAAGGGTTTATAAATTCATTTGTGTTTCTTTTTAAGTCACTTTTTAAAGTTCCTAGTAGCAGTCCTAGTAGTCCTTGTTTAGTGACTGCTACTTTAGCAACTGTTCAAGTTACAACAGTGATGAAAAAGCAACTTTGCAACCAATGCTTGCATTTATGATCACAGGTATTTAAAGTAAAGGAAAGCTAAAGCATTGTTTCTCAACCTTGACAATTTTAAGGCATGTGGACTTCAACTTCCAGAATTCCACAGCCAGCATTGCTGGCTGTAGAATTCTGGGAGTTGAAGTCCACATACCTTAAAATTGTCAAGGTTGAGAAACACTGAGCTAAAGTAAGATCATAGTCACAGTTGTGGCTTCACTTAATAACCATTTCACTTAACAACTGAGCTGGTTGTCCCAATTGTGGTTGCTAAATGAAGAGTACTTGTATAAAAAAACTACTGCTTAAGAATGGATCTAGGAAAGATATATTGTATAAAAAAAAAGAAAAGAAAAAATAACGTACATTTGGTGAATTTCTATATTCAGCAAAAACAGGCCAAAGCAAAATTAATGAGAAATTGAGAAACACAACAGCATAGCTGGCAACAGAGTGCAACTTATCTTTAATATCTGGCAGGTGATATGAAATAGGTGGCATTTATAGGCTACGATAAACCAATCTGCATGGCTGGTAAAGTATGGCTTGCAAGTTCAGATTGTGGGTGCTGATTTGTGGTGATGTGTATATAGGGCTAAAAGAAAATGATGCATTTGGTATCACCTGGAAAGATCTTAGGAGAGTTGACATTTATAACTGACTTATGAAGCAAACGCTGCGAGAATACAGCAGGCTTTCTTTATATCACTCCCCATTTATACAATTTCAATAGAGGTATGGCTCCTGGCATGGAACATGCTTCTTTGTATCTGCTATATATATGATGTAAACGTAATTACCTGAAAAAAAAACCCAGAGGCTTCTCCCATCAATAAATCTTTAGATGCAGTGTTTCAAAAGGATCACTGACATTTGTTAAAATAAAAGAATATGTGCCCTTAGTTCTTCATACCTAGAAAACTTGCACATGGGTTTGATTTTTATGCCACAAACATTCTGCAAACCTACTACAGTATGGCAACACAATCGAGTATGTATAGTCTAATTTGCAAAAATAAATAAATAAAAAATCACAGGCTTGTAAGTCTTCATTTCATTTCAGTTGCTTAGTCTTGCTCCCAGGACATCTTCACTAATAAGGTTTAATATTATGCTTATGTTTTATTCTACATATTACATTGACTTTTTATATCAGCTCTCTCTCTTTCTCTCTCTCTCTCTCTCTCTCTCTTAGAGTCTCTTGTAGTGGAGACATAGGTAAAGTTAGGCAGGAAGGAAAGAGCTATGCAGTATATGTTTTTTTAAATAAAAAAGTAGCCTTATACTAGTTTATTTGAACTCGTGCAAAGAAAGAAAATGGCTGCAGTGACATTACAAAGCAGGTCTAGTCCAGCGTTTTTCAAACTTGGCAACTATAAGATGTGTGGACTTCAATTCTCATTATTCACCAGTTAGTATGCTAGCTAGGGAATTGTGAGAATTGAAGCTCATGTATCTTAAAGTTACCAAGTTTGAAAAACACTGGTCTAATCTCTTCTGTACTGTTGTTGAGAACAGGGTTCCAAGCTGTCTCTGTTCAAATATATAGATGTACAGAAGGATAACCTAGTCCTTTGATTTTAGGGAATAAGTTCAATTTCATCATATTTTTTCTTATGTGAGCATTCTGTATAGAAAGAAGAATTTGGGAAGGCTGGAACTACTCCTAATTGTTGAGTATGGTAGACAAAAAGTGCCCAGAAACATGTTAGACCAACACATTTTTAATAGAATTCCCTAAAATATTAAGAACAAAACTTTTCATAGTTTTTATAAATATCTTTGATGAAAAACTGACATTGCTTTGTCTTTATATTCTATAATGGTAGTTTAAAATAGAGTATTTTTGGTTGGAATGTCTGTGTGAACATGAACTTTAAAGTAATTTTAGTATGTCCTATAAACTATGTACTTGAAATTCTTTGTTGTTGTTCTATTTTTGTTGCCTTTCTGTTAGTTAACTATAATAAAGACTTATGTAAAGAACACTGAAACTCAATGTGACAGCACTTGTATTGCATTTGTAAAATTCTTGATTCAGTCCCTGGCATCTCCAATTAAGAGCATCAGAGAAACACTGTTTCCTTAAGCCATTAAAGAACTCGGACCAGTCAGAGGAAACAAGATGTTTTATTGATAACATAAAATGGCTTGGAGGGCCCAAAGAGTTTAAGCTCAATGATAAAGAACATATCCACACTTCAGGACAGCTTCATTTAGACAAGCTAGCTATCAGTGGGCTGGACAAGAAAGCAGAACAACCTTAATAGTTTTATACAGACTTCCATTGATAGTTGACTTGCATTCTCATGGTTTTTACTGAACTTCAAACAATGTCCTTTCTTCAGAGTAATACAATAGGAGAATAAATTAATATAATGGAAGTAATACAATGGGAGAATAAAGGTCTGGAGACTAAAATGTATGAAGAACAGTTTCAGGAATTGGGTATGGCTAATCTAGAGAAAAAAAGGGGCAATATTCCAGTATCTGAGAGGCTGCCACAAAGAAGAGAGAGTCAACTTATTTTCCAAAGCACCAGAGGCCAGAACAAGAAACAATGGATGGAAACAAATTATGGAGAGAAGCAATGTGGAATTAAGGAGAAACTTCCTAACAGTGAGAACAATTAACCAGTGGAACAGTTTGCCTTCAGACGTTGTGGATACTTTATCACTGGGATTTTTTAAAGAAGAGACTGGACAGCCACCTATCTGAAATAGTATAGTGTCTTCTGCTTTAGCAGGGGGTTGGACTAGAAGACCTCCAAGGTCCCTTCCAGCTCTATTCTGATTGAATTGAATGGATTGAATTTACATTTAATAGCATCTCTGCAGGAATAGTAGTAAACCTATTATAAGGGATCACCCAGAAGACTGTTTGATCCAAATGGTTTTCTAAAGGTTCTTGGAAATCTCATTCACTGGATATGTATCTCCCTAATTTTAATGTAACTATATCAATGCCTTGTATTGGCTCATGGCCTAGGTAGTGGATGCCTTGACTGCTAGACATCTTCTCCCTAAACATTGAGATACGTTAGCTCTATATGTGCTGAAAATCTGACAGCACTGAAGTAGCAGGAAGACAGAATAACAGAAGACTTGTGAGAAATATGATAACAAACAAGCTAGAGCAAATAGGAAAGAAATGATGAAGAACTGATTTCCTCAGCTCAGAGCTAGGTAGTTCACTGAGTAGAAAGGAGAATTGTCTCATAGATGCCTACAGGAAAGCAAGTGGATATAGATGGTGAAACATATATGATGACATCATCATACAAATGCAATGAATTTAAGTACTCGGGGACACAAAATCATACTGATAGTATATGTGCAATGATGTCACCATGTGCATGTTGTTATTTTGGTGGCATTACAGTTTGCTATGGATGGCACTGGATTTCTTTTTTTTTTTATTAAAAGTTTTTTATTTTTTCAATGTAAACATTATAAGAAAAAAAAATACAATACAATTTTGAAATAAGATAAATTCATAACCATTGGTACGACCTGCCCACTCCCCCCAGGCTGCGTCCACCCTCTCTTAAAACATTCCCTACTTCCTATTAAGAGAATTTATGGGGTGTTAGTAGAATTGGATTCAGAAGCAGAATTAGTTAAAGAATGTATGGTTAAATGGGCACAAAATTTTGATGAACCGGTTCCATTAGATACCTGGGAAATTATTTGGGTGAGGAATGTTAAATATACACAAGCCCAAAATTTAAGGGAAAATTTTTATAAAATGTTTTATAGATGGCACCTTGATCCACAAAAAATGTCTTGTATGTATCCTGACCTGCAGCCTAAATGTTGGAGATGTGGATGTTTGGATGCTACCTATTATCACATCTGGTGGTCATGTAAAAATATAAAAGCTTTTTGGATTAAGATATGGTGGAATATCCAAAGAATTTTTAGAAGAAGGGTAAAATTTACCCCACAATTGTTTTTGTTAGGTATTGTTTCTGATTGTGATAGTAAAGAGACTATATTGATGTTAAATTTAATTACAGCGGCAAGGTTGTTAGTAGGGCAATGTTGGAAGAAGGAATCTTTGCCTACTTTGCAAGAGTGGTTTCTTAAAGTTTCTTATTTGGGGGAAATGGCAAAGATTTCGGCTTTCTTGAAAGATCAATCACAAGAGAAGTATTTTTTGGTATGGAAAAAATGGATAGATTTTATACAATATAAGTTGGATATAAAAAAATATTATTTAGTTTTTCAATAATTTATATTTAAAACTTAAGATATTTTATAGATTTTTCTTTTTTTTAATTCTTCTTTTTATTTTTTTTGTTTTTCTTTTTTATTTGATTCTTCTTTTTTTTCTGTTTCTTTTTTCCTTCCTTCTTGTATTTTCTTTCTATATATTATTGTTAACTATTTTATAACTTGTTTAATTAATGTATTTAGATTTGCTTATAGTTTATATGTGTTCTAAGATTTTTTGAAAAAAAATTGAACTAAGCCTGTATTCAGCTCTGGGAAGGTCGGGGGAGGGTATGGGAGGGTTGGGGGGGGTTTGGGGAAGGGAATTGTTTTGTAAAACTTAAAAATTTTTAATAATAAAAAAAAACATTCCCTACTTCCCTCCTCTTTCTTACCTCCCATCCTACTCTCTTCCCCTCCCCCTCTCTTCTCACTGCCCTACTTCCTCTCTACACTTTCTCACCTCTCATCCCTATCAAACCCATGAACGCAGCATAAGGGGAGTGGCTATGGATGGCACTGGATTTCTTAATAGGTTAGTATGATCAATCTACAACTTTACTGATAAATTCTCCAATTCCAGTTTCCAATATAGATGTCGCAGCAAGAGCAATATCCATACATTTGCCTTCAGCTCCCTATTGTCAAGCTAAAGTGAATGTGCTTTAATTTCCACAGAGAACAGAAACAGGCAGGCTACTTGTCAAGATAAAACCTATGAGTTGTTGGCTGTGCTTATGATAAGTTTAAGGCCATAGAATGGAAATAGTTGGCTTCACTACATCACAAATGCAGAATGAAAATTATATTAGCCAAAGAGAGCTTTTCCAGTGGCTGCATTCTGATTCTGCATTTGGATTCTGTAACTCCCTTCCAAGCTTTCTCATCAATAATCTGTCAAAATTGTAATAGAAGCTGATGACATAAGCTAGGAGGCACACTTTTCTCATAGAAAAAAACTTTCTCATGGGAAACTGGAACTGAAGTGCTGGCAAGGGAAACAAAAGAATTGATAGACATGAATGGAGAAGGGAGTGGGGAAAAGGATGATAGCTGGGTGATTTAAAATAGATTAAATCTTTTTTTAAAGTAATTTTATTAAACATTACAATTAAAAAGAAAAACGGATGAAAACTATGAGAGATACAAGAATAAAGAAATATAGGAAGTACAGAAAATAAAAGAATACAAATAGAAAATGATGATATAATAAAGAAACAAAATATATTTAAAAAATTGACTTCCTCCTTCACCACCAGAAGTGATCTCTATTATGGCCAATGGCAAGGGTTTGTTGATATAAAACATATAACTAGCTAGGCTGCTTAACCCTGGCTTAAATCTTCATGTTTCTATCTCTAGAAAGATGCACTTTCAATGCTATATGGAAATAGAGAAGAAATTCATCAATTTATTCAAGTTCCCTATTTGTAACTTAAATTCCTATCTAACAGAATCTGGTATCTTTCCTTGAACTGCTGTACTCCTAATCTCCTTGGATTAGGACATATTGGAATTAGCATCAAACTAAGGAAGACTGGATAAAACCATATGATGACTTGGAGTCCTCACAAGGTGATATGAAAGATTTTGGAATTAGCTATGGAATCTCATGTTTCCATTGGGTAGAGTTGTAGCAACAGAAATACCCTACATGTAGAAAAGCATTAAAAACACTAGATGTATCATTTGTTAACTTAATGGGATGTTCCTTTTGTAATACAGGAGACAAATCTTCAGCATGAGAAGTTTGAGAATGATAAAATGGATAAGGAAAATCTTTTGGGGGCTCACTTCTAAAACATTTACAGCAAAATGGTCAATATAGATGATTATGTTTGAATACAGTATATAAATGTCTGCAGACTTGTCAGTAAGGTTTTCATTTTAATTACAATTTCTGATGCAGCTGTTCTAACTCTTTCCATCATCTCATAGTTGATAGGGCATCTAATTAGCACTTTATAGCATATTGCGGTCAATTATAAAATGCTATAAAAAGAGTTTTGCATTTCATATTGTTTTCTTTAAAGGAAATTTTACACAGAATTTTACAAGTTTTCTTTCTATTACCTACGAAAAACCCCTATGATTATTATATTTTTTAATAAAAAATAGCCAGAAGATGTTAGATGTCTTTCTGGTTGCTGACCCCATTAAGATCTTCTTAAAATAGTAGATTGGGTTAATTCCTCAAGCCAGAGAAAAATGGTAGCGGCTTAAGTATTTTTTGTATTTCTTGCATTGATGAGCCGATAGAAAGTGCAAAAAGAAAAAAAATCTAAAAAAGAAGTTTTAAATGTACCAAGCTAAGGTTTACTTAATCAGAACCTTGAGGCAATAAAGGGAGCCTTTTTTAAAATTCTGTGAATCTTAATATGCTAAATAATGCAAAGCTTCAACTCTTCAAGCATAAGACACACATCTGGCCGCTTAACATTTAAATTACAAGGGGGAAAATCCCTTCTAATTCTGTGGTAAATGTCTTGAAGAAAAGGACGGCAAATGTATCACAACCAAATTTAATTTCATTTTAGATTTTCATCAGGTTTAATTGCACAGCATTTTGCCAGCCCCCCCTCTTTTATTTATGACACATTTTCTTTTTTCCTTCTGTATTTTTATTGATCTTTAATTTAAGCAACTCCTCACTGTTTATGGCTGTTGAAGAATTACATTGCATTCTACTAGGAAATCTATCTAGAGTTAAAAGTAATGAGCTCAGTGATACAGAAAATAAAAGAAAGAATACAAGCTAAAAAAAAAAAAAGGCCCTCCACAAATTAAAGTCACCCAACTCACAGGAAAATGATTAAACAATGCTATTGCATTTATTTTCATTTCAGCTTTTCACATGGATGCTTTCATCCTTCTTATCCTTCCGTTTCCATCACAGTGTTATGTGCTACACAGCTTTCTAGGCAAGAGCACATCAGCAAAAATACATATATGCATTCATATAGTTGGAAAAGAAGTCAGTGGTACTCGTGTGGCTTTAGTTGTAATAACCACTATAGGGCCAGGATGACATGGAAAATTTCCTTTCTTAATCAGAAAAAGGGAACTTGGTCTATTAAATTAGTTTTTTTTTTCTCTTCCAAATTGAAGAAAATGGAATTCGGTGAAACTTTAATGGAATAGGCACAAATACAAAAAAGAACATCATCATGGCAATTTATATTATTTGAGTAATGATAACATTTTGTAATACATATTAACAAAACACAAAAGAACATCATGGCAATTTACACCATTTGAGTAATGATAACATTTTGTAATACATATTAACAAGACACTATTGTTATAATTAATCCTTCCCTGGGTACGCAGTGTGGCTTAGTCCAAAATTATTTTATCTCCTCAAGTCTTCAATTTTTATTAGTTTATCATGCACCGTCAAATCAATATCAGTTCTTAGAGATCATGTAGCTATTTCTTTTCCCCCTATGGTAATCTCTCCCCAACCTGCTCATTCAGGTCTTCCTACCCATCACTGCTGTAATTAAGAGTTGCCTTGTGTTGAGATGGATGACAAATACATTAAATAAATAAATAAATAAATAAATTTAAGTCCTCCCATCTTGCTGCTAGTCATCTTTTCTTTTCTTCATTACTCCTACCATTATAAACTTCTCAAGCCTGCTAGGCCTTTGTATAATGTGTCCAAAATATGAAGATTTTTTTTTAAAGGTCCTTTGTGCCTCAAATAAGATTTGTTGATTTATTCAAAGAACCATTTGTTTTCTTGGGTACTTCTGATGTTCTCAGAAATCATGTCTAACACCCAAATTTGAAACGATCCGTACATTTTATACCCTGCCTCTTCAAAGTTGAAAGTTCTTTCATTGTGTGTCTGGATTATTGTTGTCTGCATGATTCTTTCTTTGTAGACACATCCTGGCATCTTAATATCTTTTGCAAGATATTCATTGGGAATGTTCCATGGATAGAAATTTTTCATTTTCAGGTATCAGAGTAGTATCATAGGCATAGTCATCAGTTATTGATGTTATTTCCCCCAATTTTAAAAACACATTCATCTTATTCCAATTCATCTTCTCTCAATATATAATCTGCATATAGGCTGAATAAATAAGGGGAGGGTGTATATAGTCTTCTGTCACTGCTTTGGCAACCTGGAACCAATCCATTTTGCTCTGTTTGGATTATGGTTTCCTAACCTGTATATAATTCTTGCATGAGGAACATGAAATGTTCTGGAATTCCTATTTTTCTAAGGATGTTCAACACAATCAAAGATCACTTAGCACCTATTGACTTATTTTTGATATTCTTTGTCTTTGTCACTTATCTAGCAGGCATCATTAATAACATTTCATATTTCATGGCCATTTCTAAAGCCAGTTTGAACAATTGGCATCTTCCTTTCCATGTAGGGCACTAATCTGCACTGCATAAGCCTAAGGATTATTTTGCTAGCTTATAAAGTTAAGAATATTATGCAATAGTTTTCACTATTAAGGCACTATTAAGTCTATATCCTTTGGTACTGATATTGGTCTTTTGCAATCTGTTGGACACTGTGTCATTCTCCAGATTTACTGGTATATCTTGATCATAACTAATTCTTTCTCATTGCTCATTGCTCATATATCTAAAAAATATTCCATCAATTCTTTTTGCTTTCTGACTTGGTAATAACCAGAGTGGTGGTATCATCTTCTGTACTAGATGTGCTTATAATTAAATTGTATTCTCTTAGAAGTTGACATCTCAACTTACAGAATTTCAGCATATTCGTTTCTTTTTTGTTTGACTTTTTTGAAATCAGGTAATCTGTTCATTGTTTTTCTTTTGGGTCATTTCAAATTTGGAATCTTCCTTTTGAATTTGGAAATATTTTGGAAGATTTTCCTTTTTTAAACATGAGTATTTTCATCTCCCATATTTTTGTAGATGTTATAGCAGGGGTATTCAAATTTGGCCCTTTTATGACTTGTGGACTTCAACTCCCAGAATTCCTCAGCCAGACATGCCTGGGGCATGCCTGGTTGAGGAATTCTGGGAGTTGAAGTCCACAAGTCATAAAAGGGCCAAGTTTGAAGACCCCTGTGTTATAGTATTACTACTTGTCTCTTCTAACAGCTGCCTGAAATAATTTGTTAAGATCCTTTCTGAGGTTTTTGTCTTTCTTGGTTTTGGATTTTATTCTCTTCTAAGTAATTTCCACTGTTACTTCTGACATCCAGTTTGCTTCCTTCTGTTTATGTTTGGCAGTTTCTTTTCACATTCATATTTAACAACTTATTTAAGTTTATTCCACAATTCCTCTGATTCCCAATCAATGAAGTTCAGGACTTCAAAACAATTTCTCATGTACTCCTTGAAAATGGAAGTCTATGCTCAAGATTAGATCATGGAAAATGGTTGTTTTTTTCTCTTTTTGCTTTAACTTGACTTGGAACTTGCATATCTGCAGCTTGTGATCCCACAATCTATGTCTTTGCTGTTACATATGAAGTTGGTAGATTAATAGAAAAAATGTACTTACATATTGACAAGTATTCATTA